TCTCTATTTAAAAGATGAATACTCTCATATATTTTGAGGCTACAACATTAAGCTATCATCTTTCTCACTCTCACTACGATCTGGTCAAGGACCAACTCTTAGCGACCAACCCTCTAGATCTGAGTAGAACTGCTCTCTGAGTTTCTGGCACTGTAACTCTTTATGGGAGTAGAAAGCTGACTTTCTTCTCCCAGGGCCACTAGTGGTTTTGAACAGATGACTCTGCAGTTAGAAGCCCAATACATAACCTCTGCGTCACCAGAGCTTCTCTAAGCAATCACAGTCACTGGCTTCAATAGAGGCAGAGCAGCAGCTGAAGGTGTTACAAACCACAGGGAAAGAACTGAATAGCAACTCTTTGGCGAGAAGGAGGCAAAATCTGATGGACAAGAGTATGCTGCAGATAGGAAGAGTAGAGTAGGAAGAAAAAAAAAGAAGCACCTTCAGAAGGAAACTTGGCATGTTGAAGAAAGTCAAATGGGCATGATGGCTACGGAGTTTGCACTTTATGGTGAATGAAGAGAAACCATTGAAGAGAATTAACATGAGGAAGTTGTGATAAAACTGTAATTCTAGAAAGATGACTCTGGTAGCAGGGAAAGGGTGTTGAATTTGAAAGGGTCTAAGGTGGAGATAATTTCAAGAGATCAGGGAGGCCAGAAGTTAAGTAAAACAGAGGGGAAAAAAATCCCACTTTTTCCATATGTTCCTTTCTAGTTTCGTCAGGTAGTCTAGCTTAGGGCCAGAGCATCCATTACGCATGCTCAGAGGTCCGAGCTACTGGCCCATGAAGGAGTGGTACAGTGAGCATGCTCAGAGGTTCAGGTTTCTGGCCAGGAAGGGGAGGTACACCTGGTGGGTGCTGCACCTGGATTGGCCCATGTAGGCCAGGTGAATTAAATCCAGCCTATGGGGTTGACCAGGGTCGTAAACCACGCCTCCCAGAAGAATAATTACAGAGGCAGGAGCAGAGCTCATGAGGTTATAAGCAGCTTCTAGGGAGGCTGCATGTTCCTGAGGAGCCCTGCGGGTGCCTGTGTAAGCCTGAAACTTATCCTAACTCTCATAAAATTCACTTGGATCACAAAGTAGGCTTCAGCGTGAAGTGTTGATTTTACTTGACAGAGATTTATCTATTTTCCAACTCTACTCAGTTTGTAAAATGCAATTAAACACTTTGTTTGACAAGTCTGAACTTTGTGCCAAATTTAAATCTCTTACTGGTCACTATATATATATACTGTAGTGCAATGTGTATATATTCCTTGCAATGTGTATTTCTAAAGCGAATGTCTTTGTATGTGTGTATTTGTGTGTATTTTCATCTTCATACATAAAAGTCTATTTCTCTCCATCCCTTGGCAAAACCAATATAAAATAATTACTCATTTTTATTAGTTCTTATGTATTTTATTAAGAGAAACAAAAAATTAAGAGACTGGAGATTGAGGAAAATAAAAAGTCCTTAAGAATAATTTTAATGATAACTGTGAAATACTTCAAAACCGCATTACCAAAAAACATAATGATGCATATTTTATACTTTCAAAGTAAACATTAGTTTTAACTATTTAGAAAGCACTAAAACCCATGATACTATAGAGAACCATGATCAACACTGACTTACAGATTTCTTTAATATCTATCACCTTCCACCATTTTAACTCCTGAAAATCAAATGCACACTTTGGACTTGAATAGACCTAACATAATGAAATATTTAATTATCTTTTGATTCTACTTTAATGTCTTGAACTAACAGACAAGATAGTAAGAGGTACGACTGAAAGTTGTAACCCATCAAAAAATAAGCTGAAGAAATTCTATAAATGATTTCTACAAATATATTACCGACCAGATGCAGACAATTGTCATTAGATGCTGTCCAATGAATCCCACCTCCTAGCAGCCCTGGATTTACAACAGCACAAAACATTGGCAGCTTCGGTACCATCCTCACAATTGTTCATATATTTTTAGCCCATCGTTGTAGCTGGGGCAAATCCATCTAATTGAGGGCCTTCCTCTTTTTGCTGCCCCCTTACTTTACCAAGCATGATGTCTTTCTCCAGGGACCAGTGTTTCCTGACAACATGTCCAAAGTAGGTGTGATTAACTTTTGCCATCCTAGCCTCTAAGGAGCTTTTTGGCTATATTTTTTTCAAGATTAATTTGTTGGCTATTTTTGCAGTGCATGGTACTTTCAATATTCTTCCCCAGCACCATAATTCAAATGCATTGACTCTTCTAAGATCTTTTTTAAGTTATGTCCAACTTTCATATGCCTCTGGGTTGGGTCAGGTGCACCCTTATCATCAAAGTAAACTCTTTGATTTTGAACACTTTGATAAGGTATTGCACATCTGACTTACCAAGTGCAATACGTTGTTCAATTTCTTGACTGCTGCTTCCATAAGTAAGGGTTGCAGATCCACACAAGACAAAATCCTTGACAAGTTAACTCTTTTCTTCATCTCTCCTGATATTATCTATTGGCCCATTTGTGAAGATTTGGGTCTTTTTAACTTTGAGTTGTAATCCACTATGAAGGCTACCATCTTTGATCTTGGTAGCGAGTGCTTCATGTCCTCCTCTTTTTCAGCAAACAAGATTGTTTCATCTGCATGTTGCAGGTTGTTTATAATAAACTTAGGAAATGAGCATGTAAATTTAGGGGCACACATTGATATTGATTTATTGGGAGACAAGTGTGTGCACACACGTATATATACCTCTGAGCACATACTAGCATGTGTCTTTCAACTCTGCTTCCTTTAGAATTATCACTGTGTCACTGTGTTTTTTTTCTTATAACAGGTCACGCTGAAACACTTAGAGTATTGTTTTCGTTTTTATTGTTGGCTACTCCTACTATCGTTCCTCAGTAAAATAAAAAGCTGTCAGTCCCACATTAGGTCCTAAATGGATTCTGAAAAATTGTATTAATCTGAGTAATATAGAAGCCTGGGGCAAATAACTTATGTGGCTTATATCTGGGAATCAGAGATGTGAAGTATGGGCTGGGGAAGGGGAAGGTCACGCTTGGTTTAAAAACCAGTGAATCTGAAGTGGGTAGAACCTCCCTGAAAGGCTGCCCGGCTGGACCACAAAAGAGCGCTGTCCTGAGAGGGGTACTAAAAGGGAAGGGTGATGGGGAACCTTGACACTCTGATGAAAACAAGAGTAAAATAAGATAACAGGGATCTACTGGGATAGGCAGGTTTGGAGACAGAAAGAGTGAAGGAGACAGAGGAGACTAACCACCTGGAGGAGTTGCCTTGACCTGCTACCTCTGGGCGACTCTGAGATCAACCCGACTTTCCAAACCGCTGATGGTGTCATCCTTTGGTGAGAGCGGAAAGAGGGGCTGTGTCACTCCCAACTTGTCTCTGCCTGGTCCCGGGCTTCTGTACATGAACAGAATCCTCTCACCTGACCCCTTCCACTGTGTACCCTCAAATCTTTTGATTTACGACTAATATGGACAATATTTTTTCATTTTAGATTTAGTATTTCCAGAGAAGATGACTTCTAAGCTTAATTTCTCTAAAAAATTCTATTAGCTTTTACAATCATTCTAGAACTCTGAATGGCTAGGACACGTCACTCTAGCCCAGACCCCAACATTTCAAGTCCCACTTCCAAGAAAGGCCCTGGGTGAGGTCGGGGTGGGTAGGAAAATAAAACATCGTACAATCTGTGCAAAGAATATGAATTATGAATGAATATATAAACTCACAAGAGACAAAATGTTGTGACAAAGAGGAATACAATAGTCAAGAAAATATTAGAGACAAATAAGTTTGTTAGTTCATGGAAAATGAATGAAGAAAGCCAAACATAGGGAGGTAGAAAGTCATATTGTGAGTGGAAAATCTTTCATGAAAAGAAAAGAATGGATAGAAATTTTATTCAAGGTGGCAAAGTCTTCTCAAAATCCTCGAGGTAAACATGACTATTGCTGTCATGCCATTTCAAGTTGGTCCTGAGTCACAGTGACTATGCACTGCAGAACTAAACAGTGCCCGGCCCTAGGCCTTTCCCTGCACTAACATTTAATTACTAACACAAAGATCTTGTAGCTATGGGTTTCCACCTCCATGATACACATTCATTGTACTAGTGTATACTAACTATACATTTTATAATGCTTATATTTTGCACTGGTTATAAGATTAAGTAATTATGAAACAATTACAATATATTCATAAACTTTCTTTTTCTTTCCACTAAGTTAAATAGCATTTGAGAAATTGAAAACACCTCCATTGGTTCAAATGGGCAGCTAATAGTATTCTAAAATGTGTAAGATCATTATAAGTAATGGTTCTATATCCTATATTGTACACCATCTGGGTTTGACAAAAATACCATTTGGTATTTAAATCTTTAAGCCAAAGATAAACATTTTTTAATAGAGGACCGAAGAACTGACGGCATCCCCCAGGGAAAAATGTACAATGTATATATTTTTTAAACCAACTAAACCATTCTACTATCCAGCAGACACATGTTATTTTATCCAAGTATATTTATGAGTCAGAACCAACTCGACAGCGCCTAGCAAGAGTAAATATGTATATCAGACTGCACACACAGAGAGAGAGAGAGCTCTGGTGGTAGAGCGGTTATGAGTTGGGCTGTTAACCACTCCCAAGGTCAGCAGTTGGAAATCACCAGCAGCTCACGGGAGAAAGAGGAGTTCCTCTACTCCGATAAAGAATAACCATCTCAGAAACCCAGAGCGGCAGTTTGATCCTGCCATTTAGGGTCACAAGGAGTTGAAAATGACAAGATGGCAGGGAGTTTTTGATTATCTGTATCTATCTATATGTATATATGATAAATGCTCATACAGGCAGTCTAGGAAACAAAAGGAGGCAGTTCTACTCTGTCGTAAAAGGCTACGAAAAGTCCGAATCAACCCAATGGCCGAGAGTACGAAGTTAGACCAAAAGTAATTGGAAACAATGAATTTCAATTAACAGCAAACTCTTTACCTGTATGTATTTGTGAATGTACCAAGACGCCTGCTTTCCATCATTCACCGATTCCACTGTCGTGTTAGCCATTCCAACAAGATCACCACCGGCAAATACCCACGGTTCACTGGTCTGCATAGTTTCTGGATCTACTTCCGGGAGACCCCATTTGTTAAACTTTATAGGACTCAAGGCTTCTTTCACTGTAAGAATTAAAAAAAAAAGAGTCAATAAGCAATAAATAATGTGTATATCACATGTTGATACATTAAAATTAATAAAAGATATTTAATTATTGTTCTAGTTCAGTGAATCATAAAAAGAGAAAGTGAAAGAAATATCTAAGTTAACCACACATTCAAAGTGTACTAATGGAGCCAACTGGTTTGAAATACTTTACATGTAAAATTAATCACTAGAGATCCAGTCAGTGTTCCAGACTTAATATTTTTGCGTATCAAACATAGGTCTATGAAGAAAAAAATGTAAATACAAATAAAATATACTTTGCAAATATATTGATTATTTTATTCAAATCTGTTGTTCTTCCTATGATCTCAAACGTATTCCTTTGTGTCACAGGATTATGATACCATGAATTTATGGCTCTGGCAGGGTGGCTTTCTCAAAGAAGAGTCCACCATAATGATTTGAGGGCACCCAGCCTTCAGGACATTCATTTGTTGATGGGCATGACTCAAAATGTGAAAAAATGGCTTCAAGCATCTACTAATCATTCTAATAACTGGAACTTGGAATGTACAAAGTAAGAGTCTAGAAAAATTTAAAATCATCAAAAATGAAATGTTATACATAAAGATCTGTATCCTGGGCACTAGTGAGCTGAAATGGACTGATATTGGTTAGCTTTAACCTGAAAATCACCTGGTTTACTATGCGAAGAATGACAAATTCAAGATGAATGACTGAATCAGGAGGAATCATGATGCATTCGTCATTAAAAATGACATTTCGAGATCTATCGTGAATCACATTGCTGTCTGTGACAATACCCACATCCCTACAAGAAATTCTAGTCAATACAATTATTATTCAAATTATGTATAAATCACCAAAGCTAGTGATGATGAAATTGAAGACTTTTAATTGATCAGACATGACATCAAGATGCATTGAAAAATATTGACAATTGTAATGCAAAAGCTAGAAACAAAAAAAGAAAGAATAGTAGTTGGAAAATATACACTCATTGATAAAACCAAGTTGTAGATAGAATGTTGCAAGACCAATGACTTCTTTATCACAATTACCCTTTTTCTTATTTTCAAAGACATAAAAAGTGACTGTACCCATGGGCTTCACCAGAGGGAATACACAAAAATGTAAGTGACTGTGTCTATGCAAAAGGAGCTCTGGTATCATCGTGGTCCCACATTGAGCTGCCAACTGCAAAGTCAGCAGTTTTGAAACCACCAGCTGTGCCTCGTCGAGAGGGAGATGAGACTTTGTACTCTCATAAAGCATTACAGTCACAGAAGCAATCTGCCTTGCCCTGTAGGGTCACTGTGGGTTGGAATAGATGCCGTGTCAGTGAGTTTGATTTGGTTTTGGTGGATGAGATGATAGAGGTGCTTGCTCATGTGTAAATTCAGGTTGAAGGTGAGATAAATTAAATAAGACCATGAAAGCCAAAATACAAGCTGGATTATAGCCCACCTGAATTTCAAGAACAGATTTGCTGCATTGAACACTAGTAACAGAAGACCTGTTGAACTGAAGGATGACATCATGAACATATGGCATGAAGAAAGTATAAGGTCAATAAAAAGTAATTAAAAAAAAGAGATCAAAGCCTAGCTTAGGTAATAACACTTTTAAACTTACTCGCAATTTTAAAGTAGCTCAAACAAATGAAAGAGATGATGGATTAAAAGAGTTGAGCAAAAAAGGTAACTTGCGAAGACAAAATAAAGTATTATCATGAAATGTGCAAAGACCTATAGTTAGAAAACCCCAACGGAAAACCGTGCTAAGAATTATCTTAATATAATGAACTGATGAAAATATTCAAGGGCTAAAGTTTCCATATTACAGGATTCTATGGCCAAAATATCGAACAATGCAAGAAGCATCAAAAGGAAATGTGAAAAAAATATAGTCATGTTACCAAAAATATCTAGTTGACATTCAGTCATATCAAGAGGCAGTATATGATCAATAATTATGGTACTGAAGGAAGAAGTTCAAATTGCATTGAAAGCCTTATCCAAAAATAAGGCTCCAAGATTTGACAGAATACCAATTGCAATGTTTCAACAACCTGATAAAGCACTCATTAGTCTATGCCAAGAAATTTTGAAGGTGACTACATGGTCAACTGGATGAAAGAGATTTATATTTCTATCCTTTGTAGAGAAAGGTGACCCAACAGAATGCTCAAATTACAGAGCAATACCTTTCATATCACATGCAAGTAACATTTTGGTGAAGATCATCCAATGATGGTTGTACCACTACATTGACCAGAGAGCTGCCAGAGGTGCAGGCTGGATTCAGAAGTGCATATGGAATGAGGAATGCCATTGCAGATGTCAGAGGGAATTTAGCTGTAGGCAGAGCAGACCAGGAAGATGTGTACTTATCTTTTATTGACTATGCAAGGGCATTCGAATGTGTGTATCATAACAGATACTGAATATCTTTGAGGAAAATGGGAATTCCAGAATACTTAATTTTTCTCATGAGTGTCCGGCACATGAATCAAGAGGGCATTATGCAAACAGAACAGGAGCGAACGACATGGTTTAAAATCAGAAAAATGATGCATCCGAGTTGTTCCCTCTAACCATAGTTATTCAGTCTGTGTGCTGAGAAAACAAACAGAGAATCTGGGTTATATTAAGAAGAATGAGGCATTGGGATCGGAGGAAAGCTTTCTAACAAGCTGTGATACGGAGATGACACAACCTCGCTTGCTTAAAGTGGAGAACGACTGAAGCATTTCCTGATGAAGATTAAGGTCTGTAGTGTTCAATATGGATTACAATTTAGTGTAAGGAAGACCAAAATCTTCACAACTGAACTAATAAATATCACGATAAACTGAGAAAAGAATGACTCCAAGGATCTCATCTTGTTTGGATAACCAGTTAATGCTCATGGAAGCAGAAGTCCAGAGAGTAAATAAATGACGCATTGCATTGTGTAAATCTCCCTCATAAGACCTCTTTTTTTT